ATGACGAAGCGATATTGTCCTCTTTTGGAAGGCCAAACAAAGTAGTTTCGCTTTCAAAACGAAACACACAGCGCCTTCACGACATGGCGGCGGCAACAACAATACTACAGCAAGAATAAAAGTTACGCCTTCTTTCTTTGCGTGAACATTTGTGCGGCGTTATGCAAATCTTCCCACATCGTGACGTAGATATGTGGGGGCGTGTTAGAATGAGCCGTTTTAGGTAGGTGTGGCTGACTCTTAACTTTTATAAAGAATATCTCTTTGGATTTGAGACTTTAGTCTTTGCAACTTTACAGATCTTCTTTATGCACCAAGAGCTCGTAACACTCCAAAGAGAAAGGAAAAATTTAAATCTCATCATATGACCCCTTTAAAATTCATGAATTTTTAGTTGCATTTATTTAATAGCTTCCTTTCTTTGCACGACTAAAAAAAGAGTCATAAACCCTTATTTTTTTCCAGACTGCTTTAAATGCTTTCAATTTAGACTTTTACTATGTTTTTTTTTTTTACTTACATTCAACATTACTGCCCAAACCATGTTTTCCACATTTAACATAACACAGCAGGATGTTGACATACAAACATAACAATTGTTCTAAATGTGTGTGTGTATAATACATATTACACGCATACATATTTTTATAGTTTTATCGAGTGCTAAAATAACAAATGCTTTAGAAAAAAAAATCTCAGTTTACCACATGACTGGCCCCCAAAATAACACTATTGCTAATTTCTATTATTAATTTTTACCAGCTAGAGCAAACTATGGGATTATTAATGGGATTAATAATCTTTCAAAATAGTTAGGGAAATAAGATGTGTTTTGTGCAGCCTTTAGCTTCAGAGGCCATATCATCTCATCATCTCCCACGCACAGGAAAACAGCAAACAATACAAGAAAAAGCTGACATGTCAGTGGGTGAAATGAGAAGCAGTTAACCACATCCCTGAATGAGGCCTTCACACATGCTTTTTAGATATGTACATTTTAAGTGTGAAAACGTCACCACAGAGCACAAGAAATGAAATGTGTTTTGCATTACAGAAGCATGCTTTGCATTTGCACCATGATTCAGTGCAATTGTCAGAGTATTGTCAAAAAGAAAGCATATTAAACCTATTTCTATTTTCTCTTTTATAGTCTAAAATATATTCAGAGAAGACCTTAATGGGGAAATAGTGTAAAAGGATAAAATGAAAACTTTGCGATTTAAGAGAAATATTTTAAACCATAAGAATTGATAGGTGCACGAACAATCAAATATATAAATGTCTTTATTTTCACTTTTATTTTCTCATAAAAAAACATACACAAAACGGAATAATTAGCCTGTTCTATATGATACTGTTTCATTGAGCTCGAAGACAAACAACACACTTTTGTTTTAGCCTACTTAAAGGTGCACTAAGTTAATTTCACCCATAAATGACAACACAAATATATTTACAAACAATATACATGCAGACGAGGAAATTTAACATATTGTGAAGTTCCCTCTCAAAATGACTGCCATGTTGAAATTACATAACTGTCTAGTTCAGGGGTGTCCAAACTACGGCCCGCTATCACTCCTATGGAGGCCGCGAGGGATTTTTAAAAATGATTATACGAATCTGCAGAGGTAGGCAAACTACAGGCGTTTTCATCCAGCCCATGAGGCAGTTGGTCTATGGCAAGCCGTATTAGCATTAAATACTCCTTGCTGTACTAGTCATAATTTAGTTTTGACTAGTCAAAATTCCAATTCCAGATATCTAAATTATAAATGTCTTTATCATCACTTTTGAGCAATTTAAAGCATCCTTTCTAAATAAAAGTATTAATTTTTATAATCCCCCAATGAAATGCACCTTTCATATAGGCCTACAGCATTGCATACGGTGCAGCCTGTTCAACCAACCAATACAGTCAACCAAACATATACTGTAGATACACTATAGAATCTAGATACACTGGTTAATTAAAACAGCCCTTAGTATAATTCTAATTAGAGATATCTCAAATTAAAATTCTACAAGTGATAATTAAATTAGAGATATCTCTAACTGGTGTTTGACTAGTCATAATCATATTGCAGATATCTTTAATTCATGATTTCTTAAAGATATCCAAAATACATTTGTAGATATCTGAAAGTAATTTATTACTAGTCAAATTACAGTTGTAGATATCTTGAATTGGAATTCTTCCTAGTCAAAACTCATTTAAAGATATCTGCAATTTAATTATGGATATCTCAATCTGATTTTTGACTAGGAAGATATTTATTTGGAGATATCGGCATTTAGCTTTGTGACTAGGAAGAATTTCAATGTAGATATCTGGAATTAGCAATGTGACTAGTCAAAATTCCTTTATAGATATCTAAAATGTGCATGCAAATGCACCTTTGTTAAGCCCCACCTTAAACATTTTATTAACCAATCCTAATTGGAAACTGTTGTCATCTGCCATTTTGTCTAAGAGTTGTATAATAAAGGTCCTGTGTCTTTGGGTCATTTGTTTTATACAGAAGTAATTCAAAAGTATGGAAATAAAAATGTAGCTGGAGCATGTGGAAAAGTGGTAGGCTATACAGAGAGGACTCAGATAGGCTTTTGTCCTATTCTATATCGTAATGTTGAGACGTGTGTGCTGTGGATTAAATTGTGTTAGCCTTTATTTACAAACGAACACATGTAAAATCAGTAGCTAAGGATTTGTATAGGCCTCATGTCAGCTGTTGCAACATTTGATATAATGTTAAAAGAATACATTGGCGCTCATCATTGAACACAGCAGAATATCATCATCATGGATCTCTTGCTATAATAAAATGCAATACTCCCACCTTGTGGGCTATTTCCTATGGAAGTTCGTTTTCTCCACTAAATAAAGAAATAATTAATAAATAAATAAATAGCGACTTTTTATTTCACAATTCTGACTTTTTTTCTCAGAATTGCAAGATACAGCTAAACACAATGCAAAGAATTGTGAGTTATAAAGTTTATAACTCGCATTGTTTATATCTCGCAATTCTGAAGAAAAAAAAAAGTCAGAATTGTAAGATAAAAAGCTGCAAATTACCCAAACATATAGATACACTATAGAATCTAGATACACTGCTTAATTAAAACAGCCCTTAGTTCAATCCGTTCCGTTCAGCCTGAGCTCGGGCCAAGCACATATTTACTCATGTGAAGAGGACGATTTTTCATGTGAAGACCATGATTTTTTTTTTGGAAAGCGGGTTAAGTACAAAGCCTGGTTTACATAGGCCTAATAAATAGCCAACATTGTGAATATGGAAACATTTGGATTCATGCCAAATGAGAGAGAAAGAAAGAGGATTATAGGACCAAACAATAAAAAAAAAAAAAATCTCCAGAATAAAGTCATTAGCCTATAATGTGAGATGAAACTCATTAAATATCCAGAAAAATGTAGAAATAAAATATTGAGAATAAAAATAATTAGATTTAGAGAATAAAGTCGTTCATCAGCATCGTCAACTTCATCTTTGCAGCTTTGGAGATATCTGCATTTAGCTTTGTGACTAGGAAGAATTTCATACTATGATACTTTTAAATGCTAAAACGGCTTGCGATAAGTGTCTCGCTGCAGCCTGCGGTGGACATCCAACCCGGCCCACATCCAAGTGTGACGTCACAAAGCACGCCCATGTCAAAATACGTCACATTCTCATTCATTTTGAAACAGGAAGAAGAATCGATAAGAAGATAACGAAAGTCTCAAAATTCAAATGAATCAAATAGAATCGACTTAGAAGAGACGTGAATGAATGCACGCATGTCACCTGATCCACAAATGTACATTTTAATCGCTACATGCACAAATCATGATACTTTAATACAAACTGTGCAGAACAGAACATTTTTATTCACAAACATGTCTATATTTGTACAAATCGCTGCACAATCATTTAATCCCGAATTCCACAGACTCAAATTGAAAGGCATTTGTTTGTGGTTAGTAAGATACATGTATAAAATTTATGCAGTACATGGATAATTGTGCGTGCATCTATTAATCATTTTGAGTCTAATATCATCCCATACTTGTGTCGCTTCGCTAAAGATAGGCGCCTAGTCTATTTTTAACGGACGCCACGTTCAAGCCGCTCAGCAAATACAAAATAAAAAGTCAAAATATATACCCTACAAAACTGGCACAATTGTAAATAAGTTACTTGTTTTAAAAATGTGAAAGTGTTCATTTGTTTTTAAAAATGCCTTGTATTGGTGTTTTAAAAATGCTTAAAATCCTCTGTAGACTTTCCAGTATCAGAACAAATGCCAGAGTTATCCTCCTGCTCACGGGCACTGTAATTTCGTGGGGAAAACATGGAAATAATTTGTCGTTTTATCTTGCAAAGATATGCTTTCTTCTTCTGTTTTCCACACACATTTTTATGAAAATGGATATAGTACTTTTTTTTTTCTGGATTATAATTTTTTTTTTCATCTAAAAAAAAAAAAGGTTTCATCTGAAACAGGCTATAAAGCAATCAAGGTCAAGCGCAAAGCACGCACATTGGGATGGGTGACAAATGAGAAAAGGCAAGTGAGTTTGTTTCGAGTTTGTATTGTGTATTTTCCAGCAACCACGCCGCTAGTTTCACTTTCGCTTTAAATATTTAGGCTGGGCGTTTATAATATATGTTTATAGTGAATGCCACTATAATTTGTGCTTGTTTTTTTCTTATATTTTCGTTCTTTTTTTTCTATTCTGAACATTGCTAAATTTACAGGATTTTTTTTGTGGAGTGTGGGGAATATACATGTTTCTAATGTTTGTAAACATTTCGTTTATTTTACATTATTTCTGAATGAAATTATAAAATGTCTTACATATCAATCGACTTGTACACCAATGCAACTGATCTGTGTGTCATAAAGTGCTCATAAAAAATAGGTAGAGATGGTACAAGAATAGAACTGCCATACATACAGTACAGTAGTAAGTGAGTGTCAATTTAGAAAAAAAAAAAATCAAAGCTTCATTTGTCATAAACATATTATGCGGCCCCTCACTTCATGTGGAAAACTTGATGTGGCCCTTGAGTCAAAAAGTTTGCCCACCCCTGATTTAGACTAAGGCAAATCACGGTTTGGAAGATGTACTCAATCATTATGCTGTAAAAAAAAAAGTTACAGTGTAGCATTTTTGAGTCAATATTTTGCATAGTAAATCATTACATAAATTAACCTCTGAAGACTTAGCGCACAAGTCGTAAGGACTATTGTTTATGGAACTTGTATGGATTTTGACATTCTGCCTAAGATCTCCTTTGGTGTTTGACAAAAATAAAGAAAATAATACAAGTTTGGAAAAACATGAGGGTGAGTACATGACCAAATTTTCATTTTAAGCAAGCTGTTTCTTTATGACACTCCTACCATCACAGTATGGCTTATGAAAATCATTCCATTAAGGCCCCATGTTACTGTCTTTCAGTGAACATACAAGCATCTCATTCCATTGGTCGGTACGGCTCTTCATTTCTCTTGCGGTGCTGTTTATTCCTAGGGCGAGGTAAGGGAGGAGGATATTCCTCATCGTCCTCAGGCGGTGGTGGAGGTCGAGCGCGGATCTGGGCTTTGGGCTGAGTCTGGGTTTGTGTTGGGGTTTGTGGAGATGGGTCTTCTTGCGGGATGGGGGGCACCGGTTGCCCCCTAGCTGTGTGTTTGGATCTGGCTGTACCATTAGGAGCTTCATCTTGAAAAACCCTCAGCCTGAACTCATCTTCATCTGGAAGATATCAAAGACAAAGATGTTCATAAAATTGTCATTTTTTTGAGACTGTAAAGTTAATCTGTTTTGTGTAATTTAATTTAATTTTTTGATATCATGATATATATATGATATCACATTATTAAATTTAAGGTAACACATACTGCAATTAAATTTATATGAATTTGCATAACATTTATCTAGAAATTTTAAATAATGCTAAATTAAATATAAAATAAAAATAATTTGAAAATAAATCTATCTGAATAAATGATTTGAATTTGATAAAAACAATCTTGCAAAATAACCAGATGTACTTTAGATATCAACTTCTTGATTGTGTAATCCTTGATAATCCATTGATTATGTAGTTTTTTTTTCACAGAAAAAAAGGTAAAAACAAGAAACCAAGTATAACCAGCACTTAGTGATCTTTTAAGTTTGTATGCTGCAATTATATTTTCTCAAATAAAGACCAAGTAATGCAAATTCTACATACAGTAGACAATCAATATAATAATCAGCCTTGGTGATATACTGGATAACCACTAGTTATAGGTGATTCTTATAAAACCTGTAAAGTGCTGATTGTGTGGATTCTTATATATATATATATAGACTGTATTTAAGATTTGGCATTTAAATACACTAATGATTAAAGCTCAACAAGAACAGCGACAGTTCAATCGGTTTCCCTTTTGTTAAAAATACAAATGCTCATTGGATAATTTCAGAGGCGATGAAATCAAATTCTTACCCTGTTCATGCTTCTTTCGCTGGCTACAGCTTCGACACACACAGATGGCAAGAACACATATTAGCAGCAGCAGAAGGGCTCCTCCACCTGCTAAAATGCTCACCATGATCCAGAAATCAAAGCCAAAGAGTTTATCAAGACCTGATCGTTTACTTGTAGGACCTGCAAGACAGGAAAAGATGTCATGAAATCAGTAACAAACAAGTGGATCATTAAAAACATCTATTTTAAGCTGTTAAAAATCCAAAAAAAATGCATCATGCATAACAATGTTATATCATGAGACGGTCCTTAAAATGCACAATAAAAGTCAAACCTTTGGACACGCTTGATTGAATTTGCTCCTAATTATCTTACATTCTTGATTTAAAAGCTTCTGTTTAAAAGCTTGGAATTAGTTTTGTAGTTTTATTAGTAACTGTGTAAATCGTGTATACATTTCATTTTATTGACTAATGCTGAATGACGTAAAAGCATTAACCAGTGTGCAGCATATATTTTCCTCTTTCAATAAATGCATAAAAAACATCCCAAGATGCTCTTTGTGGAGTTGGTTGAGGGCTGGAATCTACAGCACGACTCAATACTGTACCAACAAACTATGTTTAATGTATATGGGTTGTATTATTATTTTTTTACTTTGCATAGTTTTGTAGCTTGCAAAGATAAGGGAATGTCAGGCATGTTGGCAAACTCAAAAACCATCGAGTTTAAATGGACACTCGACCTTTGACATGAACAACAAGGAAGCATTTTCTCCTTCCTTTTTAAAAGTTAATAGGACTATTTATTTTGCTATCTTAACTTTTTTTTTAATTACCACATAACTCCCAGACAAACATTTGTGTTATTTCATAGTTTTGATGGCTTTGATATGGAATAAGGCAAAAAACACTGAAAAATGTTGTCTCGACTTAAAGTAAATTTGAATTGAATTCAACTTGAAATCTGCTGTTGTATTAGGTGACAAGTTGTCTATTTGAGTTATCTCAATATGTGCAATCCAGGGAAGTTATTCTAATGCGAAAGTTTAAGTTGTGATAGCTAATTGCAATAATTTTTTTTACAGCGAATAAGTGTGTCCAAACTTTCTATCTTGTAAAATACTTGTGATATCTTCAGTTAACAGAAAATACTATTGTTGTTTTTGTTTGTTTTTGTCATTATTTGATGATTGTATGTCAACAGCAAAAACAGGAAATGGCCAGACCTAAAACCAATGCGTATTTCATTAAACAAAAGTGAAATCATTGAAAGTCATATAATCATTGAATTAGACAATTAATTCTACTAGAGCAGGACATCTTAATTTTTAATGTCAGTATTTAAGGTCAGGTCTGTTCAAAACCCAGAAAAATCATGATTTAGTGGCTGTCTTTAAGACAAAATAAAACACAAGAGCATTTTAAAAAATAAGTAAATAAATATAACAGAAAATACTATTGTTGTTTTTGTCATTATTTGATGATTGTATGTCAACAGCAAAAACAGGAAATGGCCAGACCAAAAACCAATGCGTATTTCATTAAACAAAAGTGAAATCATTGAAAGTCATATAATCATTGAATTAGACAATTAATTCTACTAGAGCAGGACATCTTAATTTTTAATGTCAGTATTTAAGGTCAGGTCTGTTCAAAACCCAGAAAAATCATGATTTAGTGGCTGTCTTTAAGACAAAATAAAACACAAGAGCATTTTAAAAAATAAGTAAATAAATATAATGCAAAGCATGTGAAATAAAATGACTTACATGATACTCTAATGCTGTCACTTTGGTTACTGCTGACAGGATTGCTTACATTGCATGAGTACTGTTTATTCTCCTGTTCTTCAGTAAATGTCAAGAACAATTTAGGTTTTTTTAGGATGATTTTGCCTTCTTTATACCAGGATACAGTCAGATCTTTATGGTCTCCAGTTTCACAGGTGAGAGTAGCGTTCCCATCTTTGCAGTTGATCGTCACCGTAGGTTTAGGAGCCTTTGCTGTGACAGAAACATGGTGGTTATTTCCTACTACTGAAACTACAATAGAAATGTACAGTCTTATTTTGTTATCATTCACAGTGTGTTAGAAGGGTACAAATATTTGTCATCTTACCATAAACTTTAATTTCCTTTTCTCCAGTACCAATCTCTATACCATCTTGATTAAAAACAGTGTATTTATATTTGCCGTTGTTCTTCAGACTAACACTTTTAAATGTTAATGATCCATCTTCTTCCATAATTTCAGCTAGAGTGTTTGACTTGATCTTCCCATTTTTCCAGTGAATTAAGTGTCCACTAGAGAGATGGATCCATTTGATCTCATTAGAGCTGTCAGTTTTTTTTGTTGGCAGCTTAATGGTGCAGGACGTTCCCTCTAGTAGTTCTGTTTCAAATTTCTCTGAAACTATAGCAAATAAAGTGATATTAACATTTTATAAAACTCAACAGGGTTCAAATGCTCAAATGTGGTTTACTATGATCAATAAACATCAACATTATAAAGAATGAATATTTCTCAAGGTGGTTTCCTTTTTAAAAGTCAATTTCTGTTTAGACATTAACATTAGACAAAACTATTCAACAGTTTAATATTCTGTTCTGACATTATTGACTATAAAAATGATACAGCTCATTTAACACACACTGATTCCTTTAACAACACGGCCTGTCATCACACTGTATGGGGGGAGTTGTCACACATGGGGACCTGCAATTGAAAAGCCTGTTACAGGCTTTTCATCAGAATAAAAACAGTAAATATATTATGAAACGGTAAAAAAAAAAAAAAGAGTTAACTTAAAAATACCAAACCAATGTTATGACCAACAGGAATTAAAATAAATATAAAACAGTACAACTTATGGCCTGATCTGACATTTATTAAAACAAACAAACAAACAAACAAACAAAAAACAGCCCTGTCCTGAAAATACAGTACAATGATTGTGTACAAATCTGCCTTCGTTATATAGTGACTCGTGTCTTTATGTATGTTAGTGTGGTTCTGTTAACCTATTCATCCAACAAATATTACAAAAATAATAATGATGATACTGGAATTTAATAATAAAAAAAATATTTTAAGAAAGTTTTGAACCTGATGTTTGAAACCAACAAATTGGTGCTTAATAAAATGAGCATTTGTTAAATAAGACTTTTGACTCAAAACATTTTAGTTAATGAAATCTTAGTTACTTTTTAACATTTTATCGTTACTCTATGCTGACGTCTCCCTGAGACAAAAATAAAGGTTTCAAATAAAAAAATTCCCCCCCCAAAAAAAGGTTTCAAAGGGGAGTTTTGCAGAGATGCAATAGACCATTGTGGGTCTCCAAAGAACCTTTAAGTCAAAAGGTCTTAATATAACCTCTTTTCTTCTTAGTTTTAAAAACATTTGAATGATCTAAAGAAGCATTTTCCACTATAAAGAACCTTTTGTGGAATGCAGAGGTTCCATGGATGTTAAATGTTCTTCATGGAAACTGAAAAATAAAATAACTTTTAAAGCACCTATTTTGAAGAACTCATAACAGAACCAGTAGCCGTGGTCTCCCCTATAATTTGGCTATTTATCTATATATTCTATTATGTCTATATTCTATAATGCCCAAAAATGACAGCAGAAGTACAGTTGTAGTCTCCACTGTAAAAGTGCATGTGTTCCCTTTAGGAGATATTTCTACCTGGTCAGACTCTTGAATGACAAATTAATTTAGATGTCCCTATAAAGTACATTTTTAACTGACAAAACATGAGTTACAGTGATTATTTTCACATGATTTTCAGTCATTATATTGATAGAAAATAACACAATGTGCATGAGACCAAAGGTTAATGTGGATTACTATCCTTAATAAAATGTTAATCATATTGTAACTTTCGATCTCAACAACAAAATACATTAAGGCCAACAGTAAAACCCCTAAAACTAAGGGGAAAAGATCCATTTCACTCTAGTCTACTAACATCTATACAAAATGAAATCACAGCTTACCAGTGAGTGTACCAAAGCCACAGAAGAATAAAAATAAGAGACTGTATTTGCAACTCATTGCTCTTCTGGAAACAGCAAATGTTCCAGAACCTTTTGACAATCAATTGGAGGAAACAGAAAGAATTTCCTGTTTGCGAACAGAGTTGGCGGTTACGCAGACAGAACCATGAACTAAAGATGTCAGTTGTGTAGTTGGAGGCAGAAATTGACATTGTGCATCACAGGTGTGGAAGGATCTATAAGGATCTATTTATCTATAAATTGGCCAACTATATTTATCTCAATCCTGCGGACTAGAAAGCTGGCAAGCACTGATTTAAAAAAATATTTTATGTGATTTAGGTAGATAGAAAAAGTATATAGAAAGGCTTGCTCTGAGTGCGATACAAATAATCCTATATACTGGATCAATCTAGGACACTGTTTTTCATCTGGTGGGTCACGACCTAAAAATGACTTCTGTTCGAACTGTAGGAGGAAATATCAATGGCTGTGTGTCAAACCGCACAGTATATTTTGGTAAAAAAATTAATCTGTCATTTTGCAAAATGGCAAAGTACAGTATTTAGCCCAGTGTGTTTATGCTGGTCTGATGCATCACACTTTCTGTGTGAGTCTACGTTTTGCTATTTATTTTACATATTTCTGGACATTCTATAAGACAAAATGAATTAATAAAACAGCAAATCAATAGCCTTATAAGTATAATAAAATCCTTGCCATTTATATATCAGTGATGTTGTGGTTTTTAAAACAATTGCATGACAATTTAAATTGCATACAATACTGCCATCTTCTGGACAACTTCCCTTTTAAAATGATTTTATACAGTACCATCGACATCAACAGTAAAGAGCAGGAACAAAGATTCACCTTTGTTATGGTATTGATGGATATTGATTATTATATTAATATTAATACTGTTAAAGCATTGTATTTTTACTATAATGGTTCTTTTTACATAGCCTCACTTACAAAAAAAAAAAAATTCCATTGTAGAATATTGGTATCAGATTGTAATTTGGTACTTCATGCACCTTGGTATTTACATAGTAATCCAAGGTACTTCCAAGATTACCACAATACTATCATGGTACATGCCAAAACGTGTCCAAACTGTTTTTTTTTTTTGCAAGGTGTGTTTGATTTCATTTTGTTTTCTCTGTGAATTGATCATTCATACTTCTTTTTCATTGTTTACACAGCGGGTCCCCACACCTGTGATAAAAACAGGGGAAGATTAAAGTTAACCCAGCTGCTGTGTTTTTAAGATGAGTACAGTAAACAAACAAATAAACAAAGAAAACAAAGAAAAAAAAATCAGTTAAATACCCCAGAAAACCACATAAAGACAGGATATTAAAGGGGTCATATGATGCGATTTAAATTTTTCCTTTCTCTTTGGAGTGTTACAAGCTCTTGGTGCATAAAGAAGATCTGTAAAGTTGCAAAGACTAAAGTCTCAAATCCAAAGAGATATTC